TTGAATTGCTTGGTTTTTATCAGAGGGGTTTTCATTGCAGTAAATTTGTAGGAACCTTAAAACTGTTGAAGTGTATTTTCCGAAAGCATCTATTCAACAAGATCTCTCTTTTTTACCACTACAGTCGATTGGTTTTACAAAACCCGTGGCTGTAAACCTTTCATCGTAAACTTTCCATTGAGCACCGGCAGACGGAAACACGGCCGTAGACGAATCCAGTCCTTTAATAAAGGAAAGCAGGGTGATTGCATTCAGACTGCTTTCGTGTTCCAAACCCAGCGGTGGAGCTAAGTGATGTTTTTTATTTATTTTTGGTCCACTGGTGCCTGCAGCAGATGAAAGAGGTGTCACACATGCTCACTGTTGCACAAACGCTGAGATGAACCCCTTTATTCATTGTGACAGTAAGGCCTGTTTGGATGGGGGATGGGGAATTTACCTCCATGTAAGTGTGGAGCATACCCATACAGGCGGGCTGACATCTGTTACCTTTTTTTCCATTAAATAGTACTCTGATATGGTGTTATTGTTTCTGTTATTATAGTGATTCTTTATCTCTGATGTTTGAGTAATAGAAAAGCTTCCCTCTCTCGCTCTTCTTCTTAGGATATATATTTGCACAGGGTCATTGCAGCAGGGCAGCCAGCGGCTGTAAGGAATCCTAGAGGGAAATGAGATGGCTTTCCTCAGTCAGACATGAATCCTGTGTCTTTTCAATCTCCCTGCTCTCAATCCCTACATGAGACCTAACAACCCTCTACAGCCCAATGTTTCCCCACATATGGAATATATGATCCAACCCAACCTGCTCTCACCGCCGTCTGGGTTCACCCCTCATCTGCTAAGCATCTGACCTGCAGGTGAATCTCATTCTTCCCTCTCCAATGCTGGAATCAGAGCAAATCTTTCACACTCCAAATAGATCATGTGTAATCCCTTGGATTTCACCATTTTAAATAACATCTTTCTATATATTGTTGGTTTCTACTGTCAGTTGTTTTACTGGGATGAGTCTGGTTGAGGTGGAGGAGGTCTGCCACCTGCTGGTCATGTTTGTCATGCAACACAAGTGATTCAAATAAAATTCAGAGCAGTCACATTGCTCTATGAATAGTTTCATCATATTTATTGACTGACATACAATATGCAGCTTATAGCAACAGGAAGGACATGATGTTTATGTTATCAGTGGTTTGCATGCAACTTGGGGTAAACATTTTGCTGAAGTTAATTTTGAGGCTGCTGAATTTCTGCCAAACTCCCTTTAAAAGACACATATAACATGTTGATCATTTTTGGTTACTTATATTCATGTACAATAAAGTCTTTTAAAATAAATACTTTATTTTCCTTTGCATAGTTTGCAGAGCTAAGCTGCTACAAGGACGTGCAAAGATCTGGGAGGAAAACACAGAAGATGCTGTATAGTTAATCAACAGCCAAGCGATAAATGACTGATTACATACAGTCTCATCAGCGGTTCAGGAAATACAAACACTATCATGAAAGAAACATTTTAGTCTCTCTTCAAGTCCCTGAAACAGAGCATGTGAGAATCACTGATGGATGTTGAGTTTTTCTTGTTCAGTTAGCTCGAGCCTTGGCATGGGCCTGCAGGAGGGCCGCCGTGTCGGCGTGGGAACCTTGCGTTGCAATAGAGAGCGCAGTTCGGCCCCGCTGAGAGAAGAAAGGAGGAAAAAAAAACTATTAGCATTTAAAACAGTCTAAGGATATATTTTATAACTGCTTGATAGCATAACTGGTTGTAAGGTTTATTCTTTATTCATCATGTGCATTGTTAC